GGCGAGCGAGCCGTCTCAGCTTTCCCGCTGGCTGGCCTGTTTTACGCCAGAGCCAGCTGTAAAGCCCTGTTCCATTGCCCTGTGGCGCTGCGTTCTCCAGGGCACAGCTGGCGAGAAGCTGCACTGGGATGGGACAGAACCTGCCTGACTCAGAGTCCTGGCAGGGGGGTTAATAGCCCAGGCCAGAGCTGGTGTTTGCAGTGCAAGGCACGTCCTGCCCAGCAGCAGAACGGTGCGTCTCCAGGGTGAGGCGGCCTGCTAGGGACCCAACCCCAACATCTGGCTGTGCCAATGAGCCAGCTCAAACCGTTGTTCTGAGCCAGGGACAGGCGATCAGCCCTGCCTGGGAGCTCAGCAGCCCCACTGAAGCTGGGTGTGTCCCGCCCTCGGCAGGGGGCCGGTGAGTGTTCACCATCACTTGCACAAGCGCAGGGGCCCGTGTAGAGCCCAGCTGGGACCATCGCTTTGTTTTCTCTTACAGCTTTCTCACAAGGTGTCTTCTCTTCTCTTCTCTTCTCCCCCCCTGCCCCTCCTGCTCCCTGTGTCACCGTCACCCTCCTGCCCTTAGAGCTCTCCATCAGCCTCCTTGCGGTGATAGTTATTGTGTGTGGCCTCGCCTTGGTGGCAGTTTTTCTCTTTCTCTTTTGGAAGCTGTGCTGGGTGCCCTGGAGGAACAAGGCCGTTTCTTCTAGCGTCTCCCAGAGCCAGGTGGCCTGCAATCAGGAGAGCATGGCCGACAAGCTGAAGGACACAGGCACGCTTGGCTTCCTGGAAGCCGCCGTAAAGATCAGCCACACCTCGCCAGATATCCCGGCCGAGGTCCAGCTGTCCATGAAAGACCACATCATGCGGCATGCCCGGCTCCAGCGGCAAACAACAGAGCCCACCTCCTCCACCAGGTGAGTCCGCGCCGTGCTCCGTCCGGTCAGCGCTGCGTGCCTGGCCGAAATGGGGGCTTCACTCCCATTCGGAGCAGGCGGCGCCTGCTTGGGGCTGCGGCCAGACCGGGGGCCCGCACCTGGGGACCCCTGCCACTTCATGCAAGAGGTGTCGTTCAGGCCTGGCTAGAGCCTCCCTAGCCTGAGCCTGCCAGAAAGGCCAGTTCTGCCCCCCACATAGGAGAGGGGCACGGCTCCCCGGGGGCTGGAGGGGGAGCTGCGTTGGTGATGGCCAGAGGGGAGACGCCGTTTGCCCGCCCTAGCAGGACGCAGATGGCAGCTGCTGGGGGCAGTTTGGGCTCCGAGGGAGACAGAGCGGGGACGTTGCTGAGCCTGGGCTGGAATGGACCTGGCTGGTATGGAGGCACCGCCCGTCCCGTGCGGGAGTGTTGGCCGAAGAGTTGCTTGGCATGGCTGCTGCTCCCAACACGCCTGGCCCTGGCCCACAGAGCCCAGGACACCCACATCTAAAGGGGAACGAAGAGTCATCTTGCGACGCCTGCAATTACGCCAGGCATTGCCACGGGATTGCACTGCTTGTCGGGCAGCTCTGTCGCCCACACACAGCATACACACTGTGCACACACATGAACCCCTCTCTTTGCACACACACGCACACACTGCACATGCACGGACCCCCTTCTCTGCACACACTGCACACACACGCAGAACCCCCTCTCTTTGCGCACACGCACACTGCACACGCACACAGAACCCCCTCTGTGCGTGCACACACACTGCGCACACGCATGGAACCCCCTCAGTGCACGCACACACACTGCGTACACGCACGGAACCCCCTCTGCACACGAACACACACACTGTGCACGCACATAAACCCCCTCTCTTTGCACATGTACACACACACTGTGCACGCGCACAGAACCCCCTCTGCGCACACACACCCTTTGTGCAAACGCACGGAACCCCCTCTGTGCTCACACACACTGCGCACACACACAGAACTCTGCGCACACACTCACACTGCGCACACACACAGAACCCCCTCTGTGCACACACCCACACACGCCTGCTTCTCCGGCACTTCCTGCAGAAGGGAGGGTAAAAGCTCGGGCTGTGTGTGGGGACAGCCTGTCTGGGCCTCCTCCCCTGATGCCGCCCTGCCAGCTTTTCAGTCGCCTGCATCATGAGATTCATCCCCATGATGTAACAGAGCAAAAAAAATGAATGGGGCGCAGGGTCTGGCCATGGGGAAGGGCAGGCGGGGTGCAGGGTCTCCTCAGCCAGGGCTCTGCCCTGGACACATGTAACATACTGTTGGTACCTTGCTGGTTGCTATGCTGGGGCTGTGGGGGACCCCCACTGGCTGCTGTCTGTAGCACGGCCCAGCAGGGCAGGGGATGAGTCACTAGGCAAGGGTCTCTCAACCTGTCCGACCAGCTACCCCCCAGGGAGAGAAACAAAGGAAGGGAGGGGAGGGGAGGCCAGCCCCTGGCTGGGGGAGCAGGGCTGGAAGAGAGTTTTTTAGTTTCTGTCGGGGATCATGGAGGAAGCAGCCTAGGCAACGGGCTGGGATTTAGGGGCCCAGGCTCTCCCATCTCAAGGGGGCTGAGGCATCCTAGGCCTGCCCTGGAACCAGATTCCATCTGCGCTGTGCTGTATCCTGGAGAAGCAATAAACTCCCTCTGTTCTACTGGCTGGGGGAGTCTGTTCGTGCCACTACGGGGGTGCAGGAGGCGAGGGAACTCCGATGCGCCGCTACAACAAGGGGTGCTTGTTCAGGGCCGGATGGAGGCATGGGCGAGCCGGGCAGCCGGGCACCTGATGGCAGTGGTAATGGGCGCGCAGTGTCCCTTACAGCTCTCATCAGGAGCCGCACGCCTAGCTCCCGCAGCGCCGGCCTGGCCGCATCCCCGCAGTGCCGGCCAGCAGCGCCCTGCCCCCCGCGGCTGCGGGGCCCTGCATGGCCCGGCGCTTACGCCAGCAGCTCTGGCTGGGCCAGGCTGGGCAGCGCATGCGCCGAGCCCCCCAGGGGCAGGCCCGTGGCAGTGGCCAGCGTGTGCGCACCCTGGGGGGTGGGCCCACGCACACACCCGGGGATGGCGCTGCGCGCCTGGGCCCAGGGCGCCACAAGGGCTTGGGCCGGCCCTGCGCTTGCTCTCGGGACGGACCCTGGACTCAGTGGCAGGGACACTCTGAGAGGCGAGGCGAGGCAGGGTTGTTCCCCTTGCACACCCAGGAAGAGAGTCCAATGGCCCAGCCCACCACCTGCTCTGAGGTCCCCTGGCAGCATGGGACAGGAGGTAGCCCGGCCCCTTCCCTGCCCCTTCCCAGCTCGGCTTGGCCTCGGCTGGGGGGAGCTGGGAAACATCTATCCGCCCTCTCCCCCCGCAGGCACATTTCCTTCAAGAGGCACCTGCCGCGGCAGATGCACGTGTCCAGCATGGACTATGGCCCGGATCTTCCCCCCGAGGCCGAGCAGCCCACCAGCATCGGCAGGATCAAACCCGAGCTCTATAAGCAAAAGTCTGTGGACTCCGAGGACCCCAACAAGGAGGCCGCCAAAACCTGCGGGAAAATCAACTTCTCGCTCAAGTACGACTATGAGAACGAGACGCTGATCGTGCGGATCCTCAAGGCCTTCGACCTGCCGGCCAAGGATTTCTGCGGCAGCTCGGACCCCTACGTCAAAATCTACCTCCTGCCTGACAGGAAGTGCAAGTTCCAGACGCGCGTCCACAGGAAGACCCTGAACCCCACCTTCGACGAGTCCTTCCACTTCCCCGTGCCCTACGAGGAGCTGGGCAGCAGGAAACTGCACCTGAGCGTCTTCGACTTCGACAGGTTCTCCAGGCACGACATGATCGGGGAGGTGATCCTGGAGAACCTGTTCGAGGCCTCGGACATCTCCCGGGAGACCTCCATCTGGAAGGACATTCAGTACGCCACGAGCGTGAGTACCCGCCGCGGGCGGCCGAGCTCGGTGCCAGGCGCCTCGTGCTGCAGGCCCACATGCGCCCCTGTGCCCTGCTGGCTGTGCCACGCCAGCAAATCCACCTCCAGCAGAGCAGCCAGCGGGGAGGAGGCTGTGACGTGCGCTGAGCTGCGCTGGCGTGCGGCTGGGCCCCTCACTGGGCCCCAGTGTCTCCTGGCAGTGTCACTCGCCGTTCCGGGGGGTGAGGGGCAACAGCTGGGAGGGAGGGGGGCTGAGCAGCGGCCCACCCCCCAGTCACCCCTAGTGCCAGGCCAGCAGTGGGCAGGCAGCCCGCTGGGGCCAGGGCTGGCAAGAGGCTGCAGGCTCCACCGCCGGCTGAAAGGGCTGCTCCATGCCCTGGGGCGGGGAAAGGGCGGCGGGTGGGCTCCCTGCAGTGCGGGGGCTGGGCAGGTCGGAGGGGAGCCCCTCGCCGATTCGGCTCTTGCCATCCCTGACGGGAGG